ATGTATGTATGTATGTATGTATGTATGTATGTATGTATGTTTGTATATATGAATGTATGTGCTGACGGAATCATACCGGTGGTTCAAAAAGATGAAAACTTTCGGCACAACCCACAACACACCAGATGACCACCGAATTGTGTGTTCAGTTTCGTCACACCAACACATAAAGTACAGTGTGTTCAAACATGAGGTTGATTCGCATATAAATCAATGAAGATTTGCTGATGGGTATCGAGGCGGTTGGTTGTTTTTGTTAGCTGGTAATTTCATCCTTTTTTCATCGAGTATCCTTTAAACTTCACCTTGACTCGTCCAGTTCATCCCATCAACCATGTACCCAGAAAACACTAGACTCGAGATTCACTCTGGATAGGACTTGTCAGTGTTCTTTTTCGGCACAGTAGTATTACACAGGTCCATAGTTCAAACCCATTTTACTTGGGAGTAATGGAGGACTTGGCCTGATTATATGGTGAACTAAGTCATGTGCGAACTGAAGAAGCACCATACAAAGCTGCTTCAATCTGGTTCGGTTTCATCAACAGTGGAAATCGAACCAAGGCCCTCACAAGTAGAACCCAAGCATACCATTAACCGAGTCATAACCCCGGACGCGGATGCTGAGATGAGTCAGGTGCCATGGTTCTCAATAATAAGCTGTGATATATGGCACAAGGGCGAAATGAAAAACAGTGTAATCGACTGCCCGATGATCAAGTGGATGGTATGCTTAAACTCTATCTGATCAACAAAGAGTAGGTACACGCTTAAACAGCTTCAATCAGTCTGTGACATTTTGGACCGCATTTTGAGAAGCCAGTGTGCGAATGTGTGCATCGACCAGTGTACGCGATCAATGATACGCAGACCAGGAAATTCGGCAAAGAAGAAGTCATGTATTANTGGTGAAATCTATTAAGTTCCAGCACATAGATAAATAAGCGCTATACCACGTACTATTGTCATTTAGCCACACCGCACGGACAGCTCAACGGATCAGTGTCAGACTGACAACTTGTTATAGTCTGTTTCGATTAGAGGATCTAAACGAGAGAATCTTGCTTAAATAACACAAATACGGAAGACAGAAAACGACCAGAGAACAAGTCAATATATCATATGGCCATGGTGCGATAAGAAAATATAACCGGATAGATTGGGCATACGAGGACGACAAAGTGATGCACCAACCATATTGCATCCTTGACATTCCGATCGGTCGATCGGACAGCCGCTGTCTGATTCGTTCTACGGTCATCTAATCCGGACTCGACTTACCTTGCATGTCGTAGGCTTGACGCCGACTCGAGTGTGTCCTGACCGTTTCTGTGAGCCCAGTCCGAACCCAATCCCTCATACCCGGGATTCAAGTCCAAGTCGGTTCAGTGGATTTACAGTGCTGATGAATGTTATTGTACGAAGAATGAGACGGTCATACCCGGTGCTTTCAAGACTTTTCTACACAGAGAGAGTACCTCGCTGACTCGGTATGACAAATACACCTTCATTAAAAGCAGCCCATTGAATGCCAATTATCCTTTGCGAATAATACAGCCAAATAAAAAGACCGATTGACTTCATTTTAATTGTGTGATATGCTCCCTCATCCCTTTCAATCTAGTGAACCAGAACCATTCACTGCTAAGCTGCATCCACCGGAACAAACAGAATTCAAGCTTGAACCGTCTATAGGTATACTGCCCGCACGAGTGAGTGAGGACGACAACACTGGATCACAACCAGATCCTGTCATCACGATCACTTATACCCCAGTCCGGTATGGAGCACCGGATAGAGCAAGACTTATTGTCCAGGTTAGTTTTCAACACAATACATGTGCAATGATCTTATCGTATTAAAGATGAATTGGCCAATTAATGCGAACAGAGAGCTTGTTTCAATAGAGCTTTACTTGTCTTCCATCACCACCAGTTTGGGAAGCGGGGAGGGGAGTGGGGTGGTAATTTGCACATCAGGCTTGGCCTGTCTTGGTTTATAATGAAGCTGAAACTCGACGGTCGTTTTTTGCTGGTTAGACGAATGAACAGTGCAATACCCTTACATCTGTAAAATATCGCTCACCTAGTCATTCATACAATATGCTTACACATCTCTCGCTCATCTGCGAGCGATGTACCCACGGATGAGAGGTCAAAACACTCAGGAGGTTTGATAGGAAGTCTAGGGCCAAATACGAAACAGAATAAACACGTAATACATTCCGTGGATGCTTAAGAGTGTAGATTACCACATCTTCCCTACTCCACCTTTTCATGGGCCAAACTATACGCATGAGAATGTCCTATATGGATATCCAAATGAATGTATGCCCCAATGTCTTTAAGACATTGTAACTCAATATACTTCGAACATGTGTATGGGCTGAAGTTTCGCGCTTGAGCTTAATCAGACCGCTTTTATTTGATTGCAGTATTCGATATGAGAAACACCACGTTTGAAGATCAGGAGGAAAGCTGCGCGAACGAGAGCATGATCCGAGCGTTTCAACTAACCGACGGATTAATACCTTACCAAATGTATGGAGGACAAAAGTTATCGCAGATACCATTCATTAGTTAAACGATACAATTCGCGGACACAGAAAAGGCAGACTAGCTAATAACACGAAACGAAGACATATCTGGACTGGTATTTACAGAACCATTACCTATCATGCAGTCTTTTTATTGCAGAACACGTGATCCCCTACTATAAACGCATATTCATCATCATCATCATCATCGCACAGCGAAAAACAGTGAGACGAACTTCACTGATCGCTGCCAAACTTGTGATGCATACAAGATTGGTGGTAAAAATTAAGGTGGACAGTTATTGGACCTATTTTGAGGGACGGGGAAAGAAGATGAGCCACTATGGTCAAAACGCACAGAGTGCACTATGGAACTCTGCATTCTGGCCTGATAAAAAATGACAACAAGAATGCCACCGCTGTCGGTTCGATGTCTTA